CAAGGTGTGTTATTATTATTACGAGTTTTAGATGTCTTATAGCAAAACAAGGGGTAACACCAACGAAAAGTTTCTACAAAATATTGATTTTAAGTGGAATAAATTTCTATTTGAAATCAAACATTATTTAATTATATATAAATACCGCTATTAGATAAGATATGATACAAAGTATTTTTCTTTTTGTTATATAAGTACATATTGATTTATAATATTTTTAACTTTCATTATTTTACATTGAAATTTTTTATTTTTTATATAAAATTTATTATTTGTATTATATATAATTAAGTTATATGTATAATTACATATTCATGTATGGCATGGGTTTAAAACTAATATATAAAGAGAAACATAGCCAGAAACAAGAGGCATTATAAAACCTCTTGTAAAAGTTTTCAAATTAAAAGCCGTAGTCAGTCTAATATCATTTGATTTGAAATTTTACGTAAATGATAAGTATTGATTTGAAACTTTATTTACATAATGGGTATTAACATACTGTTAAATCGAACAAGCTATTTGTTAAAAAATGTCAATCCTACATAAAATTATAAAAATATAAAACTAATAAATTTTATATTGATATATCTTTATCTCTCTTTAAAAATTATTTAATAATCGCCTTTTTCCAACTCAAATAATTATTAAAAGATTAATAAGACACTTAAATAAAAGGGAAAAAAGATGATGATAGTGGTGGAGTGTGATTTATTTATATTCCTTTTATTTAAAAAGATTAAAATAATTTTGTGCCAAACAGAACTTTAAGATTTAAACTCGAAACTTTCAAAATGGAATATTAAGCTGTGTAACAGCTAGGGTTTATTTGTTTTTTTATTTTCATGATACAGATGATTTGGAATGGCATTTACCAATTTATCATCTTTCATATACTTGACCAACAATTCCTTTATTACTGGCCTAAAGAATTTAACCTCAAAACTTAAAAAGAAATTTGAATGCTGATTTTTTTTAATGATAATTACACATAGTATGATACGAAATGTAGTGAAATGAATTAGATTATGTTCTTGTAGAAGAGTCAAAACCAATAACATTATGGAGCTCAATATAACATGATTCTATGAAATATAAATATGATTTCACAATTATTAGAATTTAAAATTTAACTCAAAAGCTTGTATATTTAAAAGATATGAAAAAGCATAAACAAAATCAGTAAAATTATTAGGGGCATTTTTGGATTTAGATGGCAAAATAGTTTTTTTTTTTTTTTATATATTAGAGATTGTCAATAGACAATTAAGGATATTTATAATTTTTGAACTAACTTAACATGTAAGATCGGCTTAACGTGTACAGCATCACGTCAATCTGACTACTTCATCAACTTGCCCAACAAATCCCCTTCGACGTTGACTTGTTACTCCTTAAATGGATGACCGGCATTTAAATAAGCTCGACTTACCAAGTTATCTTGACTACAAAGTTGATCGTGAGTAATCCAAATTGCCCGAAAACCCTTCACCTTTAACTATAAATAAAGTTATCCAAGTATTATTTAGACATATCATATACTTCTCCCTTCATATTTTCTTTTTCTTATTTTTTTCTTCGTCGACTTTTGATTTGGATATCAGAGTGCAAATATAGAAAAAAAACTCTCAACTTTTATCCCTAATCATTTTCTTTCTTCTTTTTACATTTTCAGAGCTTTATCTCTTAGTTCGAAGCTCAACACCAACAAAAATCATAAAAAAAATCTGAAATAATAAATAAAATTGAAAAAGAGACTGAATTTTATATTAAGGGGCAGAAATAAAAACTATATAATATCATCAAAAAATTTTTGGGGAGATCATGGTTCCCGCCTACCCCTAGATTAGCTATTTTGCGAAGGGATTATGTAATAATATCAAAGGAAATCGAGATGTTCACATGCACTAGAATTGAAAGAGAAAAAGACTAATCCACCGGGGAAAGAATATATTCATAATCCATATATTGTATGTGAAAATGACAAAGTGGTGGGAGAGGGAGTGGGTCTGGGGGCAGCTGATTTCGGGGTGTGATGGAGTTGGGAGAACGGAGAAAGAGTGAAAATCCCAGCTGACCTAATATACAAATCCAAAACCGAAAGCAAGGGGGGGATCGTGGCTTGTTTCTGGGCTTTCATGCAGAGAACAGCACATGGGTCCATATCCCCTTAATGAAAAACCTAACAAAATGGGTCGACCTGAATCTCAGTCTCGTCCCTTTGTGAGCATCTGCACGTGGACGACCGAGCTTATGCAGGAAATCAATGGATCCTTTGTCCTTTCTCTTTCTTTTTGATTATTATTATTATTATTTTTCTCTTAGTCCTAATTTTAAATCCACCGCCACACAGTTATTCATAATTTTAAAGTAAAATGAACTCTTTTTCCTTATCAATCAAGGCCAAATCGCAAATAAAATCATAAATGTACATGCATTAATTTCATATAATCATCGAGTGCATTTTTAAGATCACCCACAGAGGAGAATTAGGATTATGTAAAATTTGGAGACACTCCTCATCGTAATAAAACATTATTAATTAAGTACTTCAGTTTTAATCCATGGACATTTTATTATTTTTTTGGGTATTTTGGGACAAAAATATTTACTTTGTTCTTGTATAATTTTGGGAATCTAGATTTGGTTGTTCAAGGTTTATATCCATGTCGGCTGTATAAATGGGAGAAAAAAAATATGATACAAAATCAATATTTTTTTTGTTCAAACTATATGGGAAAGCTCTACACCTTTAATTTGCTCAATCATTGAAGGATATATTATTATTATTATTATTACAAAGATATCATATCTTAAGAATAGGGGAAAAATGTTGTAAGTGCTGAATTCGAATTTTAAATTTATTAAATGTCATTTTATAAGAATGATTATATAAATCAAATGAATTAATTTTCAAATTTAGGATATCACTTTCAGAGTATTTATTTTTTGTGTTTATTTAAAGTTTTATAATTGTTTAAATGTTAATGAGAATTTCTAATATTTTTCTTATAATTTTTGGCATGTAAGGTGGATAGTGTAGATTGATTTGTACACAAGAGTACTTGATGATAATTTTTTATACCATTCAATTTTTTTTTTTCATAATATCAAATTTAATTTTTTCAATAAAAATTATAACAATATCCATAGTGGATCTAAAAGTGTTGATTTTAACTTATCTTATTTTTTTAAGGATAGACAAGTATATATATATATATATGTATGTATGTATGAAATTCTACCATTTAAATAAAATTCCAAAATTCACCATTGCTAAAAGATTGATGGGATTTGAATTATATAAACAATGTACTACGTACCTATATTCATTTTCGAAGACATCAATTATATAAAATATTGATGCAGTGACTAATACAAAGGAAAATTACAATTATAGTTAAATCCTATATATATATATCATATAAATATCAAACAACAAACCAATCAAAAAATTAACATATATAATTAACAAATATTTCATAAAAAATTGGATTAACACACATAAAATAAAAAAATTTTAAATTAACCAAAAATCTCAATATTTCAAAATCTTCTCCTCACCATTAAAAATGAAGGTAAGGAGCCTTCATTGAATATAAATAAAATATTACTAATATTTGTTTGATCAGCAACTTAGATATAATATGATATCAAGTATTAAACTTTTTTTTTTATGATTAATTGGGAAGCAAGAAAAATTAAATGATAGGTGTGGATAGAGAAATGGTGTATGTATCTTTGTCTCTTCAATAGTGAATTAGTGAGATGCTTTAACATGATGATGATAAGAATAATAAAAGCATCAACAGTGATGTCATGGGACTTTGAAAAAGAAGAAAGGGAGAAGAAAAGAAACTTGAATATGGGTCCATTTAAATCTCCGTGATACATAGTGGCAATCAAGCTAGCTAGGTATTCAGTATTCTTTTGCTTGAAAACATTATTGCAACGATTTTTGGTTTTGAATATTTCGATCCTAACTAGATTTTTTTGGCTTAATTCGTTGCTTTAATCTTCCTTAAATACGATGATTGGTCCAACGATTAATTTAGAGCTAACTTGTTTATAATATCAAGCTGGATTGATTAAGAGGACAACGAAAAATATGGAGAAAAGCTTTTAGGGTTCATGAGCTCGTGCATGCATGGGCCACTGTTGAAACCCTGTTTGAAAGTGACAGCGGCGAGCACTGTCTTCTGAAATCTCGATTGGCTTTTATTACACATCTTTAGACTGGGGCCACAAAAGTTGAAGCGCGAACGGTACTGCTGATACTGACAGGGACCGACTCAATTGATGCTGAAAATTTGAAACCAAGCATTAATCTACACTCTCTGCCAAAGATGAACCCTAAATAAACAGTGATGCTGATATTCACTAACAGTAACAGGGTTCCCGATTCCAACCCTATATTTTTTTTCTTTTCAGTATTTGTTTTATTTGTTCCAAGAAAATTTGGTTTTAATGCATTTCAATTTAAAAAATCTATAAAAAAACAAAATTTCAGTTTCAATTTCAATCTCGTTGTGGAAAATGTGTTTTTAAGATTGTTCATGAAAAAAATTAAAATCAAATAATATTAAAGGTATCTTTGATTTGTGCTATAACAAAACAAATTTTAAAGATGAAAACTTAGAACTTAGAAATATCAATAACACCTTGAATCCAATATTAGTACAAATATTATTTTGAAAACTCTTAGCTTGTAACTCTTATTTACTTAACTCATGATCAAGACAACATTATGCCATTAAATTCTTTTCAATTCATAATTTTTAAAAGTTTATCTAATATACATATCATTTGAAATAATACTCAATTGACCAATACAAGTTCATTTTAACCCTACATACACATACATGTACTCGTACGTGAAAAAGAAAATTTTGCATTTGCCTATATTAGTTTATAAATTATAAGCGGGAAACAACTACCGGAAGAAAGAGCATCGATCATGACATTAATGTAGCATACATACCTTCATTCACTCTCAATTTTATAAAGTTATAAATCCTTAAAACATCATCACCCGAGAGAGATGATTATTTCCTGTATTGTACCGTACCTAAAAAGATAAATTGGAAAAAACAGTGATGGAGGCCTACTACTTTCAATGATTGGAGATGGACATCCTAACAAACTTTGTGGTTTAAAGTTTCAAATTTCCATGCATTCACATCATCTCATATTGTACATCTGATAAGATATGAGGGGATAAAATGCATTCGAATCTTGAATCTTATCCTATTCTCGGGCAGTGCTGCATTGAAAGCATATGGGGTCTCTTGGAATCACATGGAAATGTCCATTGGGAGAACATCTTTCTTCAAGGCTTGAGCTGTGTACTTCAATACTTAAATAAAATTGAGATAGAGATGAAAGGGGACAAAAGATGAAGACACAAACCACCCATTTCCATATGGCTATGTCTCTCTACTTCGATTAGACACAATAAGTTTGGATTCCTCTATCACCAATTATTGAAACATGTCTAACAGGAACAGTCTTAACTGTTTATTTATTTATTTATTTTTGGTAAGAAAGAGCTGTAATAAACCGTTTACAACACAAGCTCTTGACCTCATAATACCCATAATATCCTCTTAATATCAAACCAAAGACAATGAAGTTTGACAAAATCAAACTCGCCCTCATAAGCTACTTTGACTAGAAAATATGCCCAAAAATGTGCTTCCCCATAACCATGAGAAAGAGATCGTCGCCAACCCAATGTAAATGTCAGTAATATTTAGTTTTCTGGTTTATTTTCTTCTCTGCAAAAGAAATTGTCAAGGGAACTGTACCTCAATTTTTTGGAACATGAAACTGAGAATCATGCGATAGCTCCCTAACTTCCCAAGTGGACCATCGAGTTAAATGCTCGTATGATCGAACTGCAGGACAATCTAATCAATGGTAATTACCCATTAGCCTAAACACGTGTTTTGCTTCTCATTTTAGCCAAGTGGGCAGAACTCGAAAGACTAGTGTCTAAATAACGTGGTTTTAAGGGTTCCAATGCAGCTCATCCAGCCACCATTTCACTGGGACTAAAAGCCTAATGGACTTCAACATCAATATGAAGCAGAAAAAGAAAACGACCAGGACAGTTTAGATTTGCTCGAACAAGGAAAGAACGTCCTTTAGATGGTAAGGCCGGTGTTTCTTGTAGAGTTGCTTGCACTCAAGCGTAAAATGCAGTTCACAGTTTTACATATTACTAAAACATTGGAAACAGACTAACCCAACCAACTAGTGATTCCATTTAAAAAAACTGACACAGATGACTGTGTCACCAACCAATTAGGAAAGGCAAAATTCATGTCCCTTATGCTAACAAAGCATAACATGACATATAAATCATTTGAATGCGAATTTCAACAGCATTAGCGACAAGAAACTATAAGAACCTCAAGGAATAGTTCGCTGATACAGAGGCAAAGCTCCCAACGCTTCACGCTCTGCTCTCTCCTTCTTCACCTATAAAATACAAACAAAAAGAATCTTAAACACAAACGCCAACTCTATCCATTCATTTCACATTAAACTTCAAACTTACGTTTACCAAACAGCAAACTAGCTTAAAATTTCTAATACTTTATCATAAATAAAGTGAAACGCAAACACAAAATGTGTAAGCAAAAATATGATTGATAAACAATATAACATGTACATGTAACAAGTAGTATTAGCAAATCAAACTAGAAGTTTTCAACCATATAAACTTCCTCATTGGTAAATATTGCAACAATCCAATCATATAGACTCCCTCCCAAACAAGCTAATTAAGCAAAACAGAATTTAATAACTAAGAATTTAGCATTTTGACATGGACATGAACAACTGGAACCATCCATTTATGTTCAAGAACAACTTCAAATAAGGTTGGCAACATAAGATTTGAATTGGACAAAATTTGAATTTGGTCCCTCTATTATTTTAATTTGACAACGTTAATCCCTTTACCGCTATTTTAATGAATTATCCTTACACTTTTATTAAAATTCAATTTAAAGATAATTGATAACAATATTAAAATTGTCATTAATTTCAGTAATGTGGTCTTTTTGTTGACGACATGGCATGTAAACTTGAATTTTTACTAAAAATTATTTTTAGAATTTGAAATATTAATTACTCCTGTCCCATTTCGTTTGTCCAAGTTCGATTTTTTGGTCAAACAAGTTCAACTTTGACTATTAATTTTGAAAATTTTGAAATATTAATTTTACAAATCTTAAAATTTTTAATTTCATGATTTTATTAAAAATAATGGTCAAATTGAATTCGTTTGACCAAAAAAAAAAAAGAGACAAACATAATAGAACAAAAAGAGTATTATGTAGTAAAAATAAATATTTTTTTTCATACTAATATGTCACACATGGTCAATAGGGATGTTCATATTTTGATTTTAACCGAAATTAATAATCTAACCAATTTAATTTGGTTAATCGGTTGGCAACCAAATTAATTTTAATCAGTCATTAAAAATGATTTTGGAAAAATTTTGGGTTTTAGTTAATTTAGTTTGAAAACTGAATTAACCAAAAATTTAACCTAAATATAAAACACCCTAATATAAAACTAAAAATACATGAAACAGACAGTAATACTTTGATTATATTTTGATTTTTTTTTTAAGTTCCTAATCTACCCTTAAATCTCCTAACCTACTACTTACTTGGCTGAAGATGACATTAAGCGCATAAGTTCCTTCGAACACACAACCTCCAAGTAATAGTTCCAATGAAATTTCAATTGATCCAAATGTTAGTAGGCTAATACTTTAATATTTGAATAGTTTGTTCGATAATTTTATTTAGTTTGTTTCAAACATGAGAAATTAAGAGTTTAAAATATAATTTAACTTAAATATATTCTATCATTTGATTAATTTGAAAATTAACCAAATTAAATTCAATCAATTAGATTTTCAAAAATTAGTAAATTCGGTTTGACTAATAAAAACAAAATAACATAATTCGATTAATTCGGTTCATAAATTAACATAATGAACACCCCTAATGGTCAAAAACTTAACCCACTTATCATGCCATGTCATCACTAAAATGCCAAATCATCCAAATTAATGGAAAATTTTTAACAACACTATCAATTGTCCTTAAATCAACTTTTAATAAAGGGACTAATATTGCCAAATTAAAATAGTAGAGGAACCAAGTTCAAACTTTAACTGTTACAATTGTTAAGATCCCAGAGGATTAACATACAAAGATTGCAGTGATATCTAATTAAAATCAAACAAATAAAAAGACAATTCAATCCGATATAACCACTACCAGACAGCTTTCCATTTCAAATAGTGGGTACATCAGAATTAACTCTGACATATGATCATAAAGATTACAGGTAGTATTATAAGTAGTAAAACTGAGGAAAAAGCCTAATATAAATGCAATATGAGCAGTAACTCCCTACTTAGCCAAATATATATATATATTAGAACCCAATTATTTTATCCATTAAGTTTGTCAGAGCATACCAAGTAATAACACAATTATTCTACATATCTAGATTGAACATACTAATCGCTACACCTTACAGATTACTGGTCACATCATGTCGACATTACTCCTACTATCAGTTTTTCTAAAGTACCCACGTAAGATACATATTTGACACCTCAAAGTAGGCTATGAGTGTATGACCTTCATATTAGGAAATCATAGAATAAATTAAATTAAACACACCTATGTCAAACGTGTAGAGCTGTCCAAATTCCATAAAACAACAAAAGCCAAAAAAAAAAAAAAAAAGCAAAATGAAATCTCAACAGAACTTTATTATTCAAGAACTTACAAGAGCAAGCATATCTTGAAGATAACTCCTAAATGGTGTCTGCATTTTCTGCAAAGGAACGATAAAATCCAATGAATTGTTAAGACCTCACAGTACATTCATGAAGTGAAGATACATTTTCACATTAAATAGCACTAATTAGCTAATGCTACTTTTTTACTAACACCCTTTCTCCTTACAAAATGAAAAGTATGGCGAGCATACATGGATTAGAGTTATAAACATCAACAAAAATCGACATAGATTAATCATATTGAAACAAATTATGCAATATTAGTTCCTCACTCTACATCTGCTTTGTTTAATAGCCTTGGACGAATTGAGCTTTATGGGTAAAAAAAAGTTTCAACATTGTTACTTCCATTCTAATAAACCAGAAAATTTAGGCTTTCTGTATCCAATGGTGGTCACCAATTGATTTAGGAAGCAAAAATCAAGTACCAACTATAGCAACAAACCATACCAAAGAAATGACCAGAATTATTGTACCTTAGTTATATCCCAATACGAGAATATATCCATACATAAAATATCAAGTATACTTTTTAATTTAAAAAATGCTTAAACAACAACGGGATATACATTTAATGGTAATAGGATTCATTCAAGGTTTCTGACATTTAATAACTATAATTCTTATTTTACAGAAAAACAACAATTAAAATCTCGCAAATTAAGTACTCAAATAAAATTCTCAAAATTCTAGACTGAAAACTTTAAAAATGAAAGAGAAAAGAGGAAACCTGAAGATTTTCGGGGAGATACTCGTGCTTCATGGAGAGGTCCATCGCACGCTTGAGGTGTTGGTTACGGGCATCGACGATCTCACGGGGCAGCCGATTCAACGCCTCCTTGATATCCAGATCGTAGTAAGGATCGTATAAATCGTCGTAGCGAAGGCCTAAACAAATTCATTCTCCAATGAGTTTAATTGAATTTTAAAGAAGAAGAAAAAGAAGAAATTAGGGTTTGGGTTTAGAGGAAAGTCGTACCGTATTTGCGGAGGCGATTGGAAATGGATTTCATGTGCAGAGCCGCCAACCAGTTCTTCTTTGGATTCAGAAATGACTGCAAAAACGACGCCATTTTTTTAAACTCTTTCCTTCTCTCTACCGCAGCCTTGTTCCGAGCTGTCTCCTTTTTATTTTGTTTTCTGAAGGAAGGGTTTGTTGCACTAATATGGCAATATATCATCCCTAAAATAATAAGCTCATTATTTCCATATATCATCCTTAAAATACCATAATATATATAAATATATATAAACCAAATTAATATCTTTAACCTCTTAATTTAATGATCAAGAGACTTAAAAAAAAAAAAACATTAGCGTGGGTTTTAATTTCGTTATTTTTATTTTTTTTGTACGAACATTTACCCTCTTATGAATTTTTTTTTTTAAATTAACAAGTAAATTGAATAAAATATAAAATATACATACACATATTTTTTAGGCGAGGATTAACATTAAAATTAAAAATCAAACATTCTCTAAAAAAATCACACATTATTGTTAATAAATTTTAATTTTATTTGTCTAGTTCATTTAGCAAATAAGAAAAGTACTTGTCTCTTAAAAAAAAAATATTAAAATTAAAATTTTAAGATAATTATGTCACGTTTTCCTTATTCTATTAAAAATATTTTGTTATTTAACTTATTCCTCTTTGTTTATGTTAGGATTTCCCAACAACTTTAACATATTTGTTGCCTTGCAAATGTACAATTTTATTTCATGATCACCATTCATACAGAGTATTCACGAAATTAAAATACAAGATATTTAAATACTATTAAATTATTTATTTAACTATAACAACCATTATAATTAAGAATTATCATTAATTATTACACTTCATAGCTTTGATTATTTTTGGATTTAAAAAGCATTTTTCCTTTCTTATTTTTCTTGAGTTTGGCTAAAACCCTAAAGCCCAATCCCTCTTCTTTTGAAATTTCCGTTAAAATTCATCCAATTTTTTTTAATAACATTTAGCACAAATTAGTATATATGAATTCAGAACTTGATACAATTCCAGGATTAGTCCAAGTTACGGGCAAAGTTGTCACGATGAAGATTAGTACAATTACAAAAAAAAAAAAAAAATTTCCTTTCCTCCGTGGCTTGAAATTTTAAGAACCTCTTCAACAAATTAAGCCTGCATGACAAGACTTGAGGCACTGATCAATCCCAGACGTACCCATTTAAACAGGTCCGGACCACTTATTTTGAGGATATTTCTAAGTACATAATCTAAATTTTTTTATACCGTTTCATCAATTTTTTTTTAAAAAATACTCTAATAACAATATCAAATTTATCCATTAATAAATTATAATTTTACTTTTTTTTTCTTCATCTTTCACCCTTCTTTCTTTTATACCTAGTTGAATATGATTTTTTTTATGTTTTTGAAAATTCATTGTCAAGAATATAGTATAATTTTTAAAAATTTATTTTCAGAATTAAATTTTTAAAAATTATATTATATTTTTAAAAATTAAGTTTCTAGAAAATAGATTTTCGAAAATCTTAAAAGCTTTTTGGAAAAAATTTTCTAAAAACCTTGAAGGCTTCTTGGAAATAAAAATAGATTTTTGATAGCCTTAAAGCTTTCTTAAAAATAGATTTATGAGAATTTTAAAGGTTTTTTGAAAATTCATTTTTAAGAAGCTTAAATTTTCAAAAATCCATTTCGTAAACCCTAACATATTTTTGCATGCATTTAGATCAAAATAAATGAAATAAATTTTAAAATCTTATTTTTAATCAATGAAAAACTAAAAAAAAAAAACATAAATTTGAAGTTAATTTGGTTTGAGATTGAAGAAAGAAGAAGAGTGAAGAAAGAAAAAATATTGAGGGTATGAAGGAAAAATCAATTATTGAAGGATGAAATGTATTTAATAAAAATAAAAAATTAAATTTAAATTTTAAGTGTAAAATTATAAATGTAAATAAAATTTACCCTTTTTTATTATTGCAATACTCCTTCAATATTTGTATCTGTCACCAATAGGACTTCTTTTAATTTGGATTTTATTCCAAATTATCGTCCAATTTGAATGTTCATTTCAGTTTTTTTTTTTTTTATTATTATTAAATTCGAACGTGGTGATATTTGAAGAGCTTATAAATGTATTTTTCCTCAGGGGGAGGAGAGTCCCATCACCCTCAGCCCTCAACCTCAACTACTAAAAAAAATCAAGTTGCATAGGAGATTGATCTGATACTTAATTGAAATTAACGTTTAAAAATTACAAGTTAAAATGTATTTATATGTGTAATTTTTTTAAATTAAATATAAGAGTAAAAGAATTAAAAAGTATATTAAAATTTTCAAAAAGAATTAAGCTGCACCTTATCATAGTTTGGGAATTTACTTTTGTAATGCGGAATTGTTTGACTGATTTGCAAAAATAAGTCGACTACTTTTACATGGATTCATCGGGAGAACACCAATGCCTCCTAAAAATTTTCGTAGTCATTCAGTGTGTGACTGTTAGTGTCACGAGTCGATATTTAAGTTTCGATTCGTGTGGTTTTAAAATTCGGACATTCATTTATTCGACGTCTCAAATCAGTTTATTTATCACGGTTCATATTCTTGTGAGGTATTATCTATTTTAGTTTCATGAACTCACGATTTTATCTTACAAAAAACGCCTCATAAGAAAGAGGTGATATAAACTTTTTTATACCTCAGTGACCCTTTTTTTATATTCGATGTGGGATTAAAGACTTCTTCTTAGGTCCGTGACATTCTCCTACATCTAATCTCGTGACATCCTCGTCACGGAGGTTGGCTACCTTGCTTATCTTCCTCGAGGCGCTTGGCGTGGATCGAATGGTATAGGACTGGCTCTGATACCACTTGTTACAAGTCGAGACTTAAGTTTCGACTCGTACGGCTCTGGGACCTGGGCATCCACTCATCTGACGTTTTCGATCAGTCTACTTACCACGGTTCACATCCTTGTAAGGTATTATCCGTTCTGACCCCTCTGTCTTTACAGTTTTATCTTACAAAATGCGTCTCATAAGAAAGAAATGGTGTAAACCCTTTTATATCTCAATGACCTTCTTATTATGTTCGATATGAGATTCAAGATTCTTTTTTAAGTCCGTGATACTAATATTTTATTAAAAAAAAAAAGAGTAATGGGCCATGAAAGATTGAGGATCATGATTCCTAATTTACCTTGATAATATGGTTGAGAGGCCAATAGGGGAAACTAAACTGTCTTTGAATATTGCTGAGAAAAAAAAACATGCATGTAAGAAAAGAAAAGCATTTGAATGCTTTTTAAAAGGAAATATATGCTTTTCATAAATTTGTTAGTTGTCATGCCCTGCAAATGATGAAAATATTTTAATTTTTAATTGAATTAATGTTATGAATGATTTTTAAATTATATAAAAATATTTAATATAATATTTAAATTTTATAAGCTTTTGATGTGATTTTTAAACTATGAATATATTAATTAATGTAATATTTAAAAAATTATTTATTCGTCACATATAATTATTTAAAATTAATCACATCAAAAGTGAGTATTTTATTAAATAATAAATTTATAATTTAAATACTAAATTAAAATTTTTTTAAATTTAAATATTATATTAAATATTTTACTATAATTTAAAAATTATTCATAATATTCGTAATATTAAGCCTTTTTAATTTGGATTTGTCTTTCTATCATAGTAAGCCTTTTATGGATGACAATACATCACAATAAAGATTTACAGTTGCCATATACTACATGGTTACGTTGCACATTAGTATATCTTTATATAATAAATAATAGATTTGAATATCTTAAGCAAGAAATTGCTACATTTATTTATTAAAAAAATTATCATAAAAATTAAATATTAAAAAAGAAATATCATAGAAATATTGGTAAAGAAATTCATTACCTTCGAAAAAAGAAAGAAAAAAATCATAAAATTTTCTTTGAATAATTTTACCGAGCTTATGATTTATACTGTTGAAAATTTTATTAATTTAGTATTCGATGATTACAAATAAAAAATTGAAGAATATATAGTTATTTTCCGTAACAACTTAATTTTCATATTTATAGTTTTTTTTGCATGTTAAAAAAAAATTAAAAAATAAAAACTACTCACTCGTCCCATTACTTTTTTTTTTCTTTAACTCGCCCAAATCTAATAAAAATTGGTTGTTAATCTCACAAAGGCAAAGCGAGGGGATATTTATTACCAAGAAAAAGATATCATCGAAGATCAAATTTAAGTTAGCGCGAAACAGGCGGTTTCCCACGTAAACCATCCTCATATAAACCAACGCAAAGCCGTGTTTGTGGGGTGGTCTCAGACCCAACGTTGGTGGGAACTGGGAACTTCGGAGATCAAAAGGCAATCAAAAGAAAGAGGTCAAAATAATAATAAAAATAAAACCAAACCCTGGGACTTTGAGGAGGATCCAGGGTGGGACAAAATTATAAACAAAAAATTTAAAAAAAAAAGAGAGAAACTAAGGGTATAATACTGCATGAATTAGCATTAACTAATGTCGAGGAGGAAGAAAAGAGTGTTGTTTTGCGGAGGGAGAGGAGAAGATGAAGGCGGGTCATTTAATACGAAAGAGGAGGAACTTGATCGATTTGATTCATTGTCAAAGGAAGGTAGCCAATATAGCCTCAGCGTCAGCGTTTTGCCTTCGCTTGGCACTACTCGTTCCAACCGCAAGGTCATGCTTCGTCGCTTCATTGTCTCCCCTTTCGATCGTCGTTACAGGTTCTGCATTTGCATCTCCTCATCTCCCTTTATTTCATGCAACGTTATCTTATTTTTAAATTTGATTATTAATTGGTTATTACTGAGAGGGATGAGGCCACCGTTGATTTTTCAGGTGCTGGGAGACATTTCTGGTATTTCTAGTGTTCTACACAGCTTGGGTTTCTCCATTTGAATTTGGATTCCTACTAAAACCTGAAAAACCTCTCTCAATAACAGACAACGTTGTCAATGCATTATTTGGCATCGACATTGTATTGACCTTCTTTGTAGCATACCTTGACAAAACTTCGTATCTACTGGAAGATGAACCAAAAAAGATTGGTTGGAGATACGTTCGTACCTGGTTTCTTTTTGATTTCATCTCCATCATCCCTGCTGAAGTTGCTCGTGTTATATTGCCCCATCCTTTT